AATCTCTGAAACAGAAATTGCTTATAGCTATTTTAAGCAAAAGCCCAGATATAAAATGCTATGTTCATGAAAGCAAACTTGAGAGTCTCATTAAAGGATTTGAAAGATTTCATTTGGAAGTTTTCACAAATTCAATTTTTAACACCTTTTCTACTTTTTTTCCCTTAGAATTATATAACTTAAAGAAAATAATTTTTCACTAAACACCATAAAGATGTCTCCAAAGCCCCTCTCGTTTACCCCAATGTACTATGCAAATATGACTCTTTTTTTGCAGAAAAATGAAATACTTTTTTTAACATTTTTTTGAGTTATAGTCATTTTACAATGTTGTGCCAAATTCCAGTGTCAAGCACAATTATTACTGTCTTTCATATATGGACCACAGCATGAAAATAGTTGGTAAGGACTTTCTGACCAAATATTATTTCACATCCCTTTTTCCTCTCTAACAGCATTCACTTTTCATCATAGAAGAAAAAATGCCAAACGTTTTCTCCATAGGTTTTGCCAAGGGAGGAATCATGTGACCCAATGTTGGCCAAGGGTACCTGAGGAGAAGACTCCTGGGTACTTGAAGGAAAGATTAGCCTTCCTAAGAAAAATTGATCAACCCAAGTCAATGTCCATTTTCTTCATTGAATGTGATACATTTATTCCTTGTGATACCATTTGCTGCAGCCACGTGTGACCATGACTAACGACTGCTCATATGCTGAGGATAGTAGAATGGAAAGATGGAAAGCAAAGAGGCTCCCAAAAAATTGTTGAGCAGCTGAACCAATGTGGAACATCTCTATGCCCGAAAACAAATGTCCTTATTATTTCAGCCCATCTTACTTGAATCTTCTGTTACTTGCAACCAAGATACTAAATTAATAAAGCTGTGGTGATTTTAAAGCATGGCCCCCAAATTATTTGACAGTTCTGCCATTGAAAGGTAGGTTCCATGTTCCCTCCTATCGAGTCTGAGTGGGCTGTGACTGCTTCAGTGATTAGAGTATGGTGGAAATGATGCGGCGTGATTCGTCAGACTAGAAGGACTTGTGAGACCAAAAGAAGGTATAGCTTCTGCCTTGCTTAATGGAACACTCACACTTGGAAACTTGAGCTTCCAGGTAAGATGTCTGAATACCCTAAGACTGTCATGTTAGGAAGCCAAATACTTGGTAGGGCTGTGTGTTGCTATAGCCCTTGAGAAGAAAATAAAGGTCCTTGACTTTGTTTAATGGCTAAACTATTATTATTTTGTCTTGCTTGACTGTTTTCCTTTGTTTCTGCTTTTTCTCACTTCTCTGATTTTTTTGGAATTTGGGGAAGGCGTAGAAGGCTAAAGTTTTCCCAACAAGAGGCATGTGGAGGACATGGTTGGAGGAGGGCATCTATCCTGAAAAGGCCCCATAAGGTCCTGCTCAGTTACAATTTCACCCTGTTCTTTGATACTCCCCAATTCTGTGGAGGAACAGGTACAGAACAAGAAAGGGAACAAAGTTTTGGATAGAGAGGTTAATCATAAACTAGGCAAAGGAACTCAGTTTCATTACCACACATCATAAACCCAAGATATGATAGAGTGGTCCTTGTAGTTTTAAGATTTTTTGTTTTATTTCTGTATTTGACCTACCTAGATACAGAAACAATTCTTTGGGAAGTAAGGGGTTAACAAGAACAACACTAAGTCACCTCATATGATATTGAAATTGCTCACAGGAGAATAACTTTGTATAAAAAAAAGTCCTGAAAAAGGAGAAATACACTTCCTCTATGAATTGCAATTGCTTTTCTACAGTAATCTTGATGATCTATAACTCAGAAGAACCAGTAACAAACTACACATCATCAGGTAAACAGGCCAATTTTGTTCTAAGCTCATAAAGTGAGAGCAGAGAAGGGAGGGGCCTGAAAGTCAGAAACCTAGGGTTCAGTTAACAGCTCCGTGCCCTTGTACAACTTACTTCACCTCTCTGAGCTGCAGTTTTACTTGTAAAATAAGAGTTGGACTAGATGACTAATGAACCCTCCAACTTTGATTTTTGAGGAAAAAAACAGAACAGTGGTTGTGGTAAGCTGAATAATGACTCTCCCTAAAAAAGATGTCCACATCTGAATCCCTGACCATGTGAACATATGACCTTGCATGGCAAAAGGCATGTACGTTGCAGATATGATTACATTAAGGATCTTGAGAGCAAGACAGGACAAGAAGACACGAGGATAGAAGTAGAAGTCAGCAAGGATAAATGATGCTAAACTGCTGGGTTTGAAGATAGAGGAAGGGATCTTACACCAAAAAATGCAGGCAGTTTCTAGAAGCTGGAAAAGCCAAGGAAATGAATTCTTCCCTAGAGCCTCCAAAGGGAACACAGTCCTGCAGACTCGTTTTCATAATTTGTTACAGTAGCAACAGGAAACTAATACAGTGTTTAAGAACTTGAGTGTTGCTGTTAGAGCAGGCAGATAGCTAGATATGAGCAGAGAAAGGGGGACACAGGCCAAAAGGCAGGAATTGGGCAGAAAGGAGGGGCACGGGCAAAATGCAGGAAACCATGCATCATGTAAGCACCAGGGGTCCCTGGGCAGAGAAAGAAAAGCAGGAACCTCTGGGCTGATAAGTGGTCACAACTTTTGGGGTGATGAGCGGCCTGGGGCCAACAAAGAAAGGTGAGAAAAGGCAGGAATCTCCAGTGTCCAAATGTAACCTTTTGTTCATTATGTCCTTATTTCAGTAAATCTAGCCTTGCAGATTAAAGGTACCCATCATGCACTGATGCCATGACACTTCCAATTCAGACTAAA